TGTACCTTGCGGCCCGTCCTTCCAGCCGTGAAGCCGTACTGAACAACACATCAGAAAAGAGATGTGGGTAGGTTACTCGCTCGCACTCCAACCTACGCAAAGCCACACTGCCATATCCCGGCCTCTATTCGTCCTCTATACCAAGACGCCAAAAACAGGCCACAGCGCTGCCGCAGCACGAGTTTATGGCCGGCATATCAGAAGGGAGGTTGGGATAGGAGTGTGGCCTGGGAAATGACTCTGCGCTGCTATATATAGTACAAAAAGAAAAGGCATTTAGGCTTCTAGCATATGATCTACGCCCTGTAGAATCGCTTACAAACTATGCCACTGACCAAAGTCTTAACATGTGGCACATGACAAGATGAGAGAAGAGAAAGCAAAGGAAATGCTGATGATAAGTTAGTGAAAGTCCGGTCGTTTTATTAGGCAGTGTGCTTACAAGTCTTAGTCAACACACTACACGTTCAACAACGCTTATGCGCGATGCTGGCCAACTTCTCCCGTTTCGTCTTCTGAGCCTCGTCCGTGGCCGGATCCTCCACCCATTCACTCTTCCGCTTGTCCCCAACATTTGCCCCAAAGGTGGTTTGCTCATTCTCATCCACGGGCTCCTCAATGTCGAGTTCGGGAATGTCATCGGGAATATCGAGGTTGCGTCCTGTGTTGCGCTGCGTCATTTGACTTTCTGAGCCGTACAGGGCAGAAGCCAAAAGGCCTTTGAGGTCCTCATCGTCAAGGTCGGAAGGCTCGTCGGTAGAGCCAGATGTGTCGTCAGTAAGGCCCGAAGTCTCATCAGTAAAGTTGGAGGCCTTCTTCGAAATCGTCCTTGATTGCCCGTTTCCCAGATTTAGTCTAGGCGTCAGCACGATCCGCTTTGTCTTCGCCTTCTGAATGTCTCTCTTGCGTTCAACTGGCGCGCCTCTCTTGTTTTCGTCCAGTGTTTCTGCAATAGGGACGTCCGGCAGACTTGCCCTCATGTCATTGCTGAATCGCGATTGATCACTAAGACCTTGGAAGTCTGGATTGGAAGAAGACGATTCGCCAGCTTCAGAATTCCCAGAATTACGAGCACGGAGCTGAGCCGTACTAAGGGAGCCAATGCGAAGTGAACGGCCATCTTGAAGCGAAGTCTCAAGGCTTTCATAGGAGTTTTGTGTGATCCCAGGGGTTGGAGAGATCATGGCCTGTTCTTCTGGAACTACAGAAAGCGAATACGTCGAGACTTTCGCACCCCAGTAGCGGTTCTGGCTAGCGGCCTCTTGTTCCCTAACCTCCTCTTCAGTTGCCCTCTGCTTCCCTTTGTTTGTTGGCTTGGGGGCATTGGTGTCAGCGACGCGGCCATTGGTGGGTGAGCTGTTATTCTCCCATGGCGCTGGAGTTCGGTGCCAGGGGTTATCGAGGATCAAGTACCCAGAATCCTCGATCAGACTGTCAAGCGGTTCAATCTCGTACGGCAAATGTAGCCTAAAAGTCTCGTAGCGGGCCAGATCCTGCCACCTGGAAAGAGTATCTTTCTCCAGGTCAAACCCCAATGGGTATCCGAGATGATCTAGACCATTCAGAAAACTCGCATAAGCAGCCTCTTCGTTGCTTAAGCTGTCGATATGCATCATGTCAACAGAAGCTTCCGTGGATTCCATAGAAGACTCTGGAACCAAAGGCTCAAAAACCCGCGATTGAGTATGCACAGGGTGGCTCAAAGTGGGACCCCGAGAGATTTGAGGCAACACACCGAGGGGCTGAAAGTACGAAGCTCCATTTGCCGAGTTAATGTCAGATCCGGATGACGATGCTGAAGTCTGCAAAGCGGTGTTCGGTGAGGGAGCTTCCAGTGGTGGCGCGTCCTCCATTTGAAAAGTTGTCATATCGGGTCTATCATAAACTCTTCCGGGGATATTTTCGGATTCCTCTTGAAATCCACTAGCGCTTTCGCCGACGTTGTTAATTGGACCGTCCTGATTGGCTGGCTGTTCGGCGGCCAAGAATGATTGCGTGTCCATAGCAATGGATTCATTGGCGCTAAAGTCAGTAACCGGTGCTTCAATATCTCCGTTTGGGGTCGGAGCTATAGGTAGAGAGACTGTCGGGGCAACCTGATCGTTAGGGTGAGGCTGCATAGATCCCTGGATAGTCTGACTCGCTGTGGACTGAACCCCACTGTCAGATGTTTGGTGGCCTTCATTCTGCAGGCCCTGAGACATTCCTTGCTCTTCGGCATGAGCATCACCGGGGCCGGACTCGGCGCGGGCAAGATCCCTGTTGGAAAGCTCTGGTGCTGCTACTGGTTCCTTCTCGTGGGATTGCGGCGATTCGCCTACGTGTCTTCCAATCTTGCCAGGCTTAGAATCCAAAGTCAAAAGTGAACCTGATGGAGTTTTGTGGACATGCAGTTCCTCGTGGGTTGGACTGGGAAATGCAGCCATATTTCCATCAGTGTGGGTCGCAATGTCAGCCACATTCACCGGCCTCACAGACGCCGCAATGCCTTCTTGGTGGATGTTCTGGCTCGAACTGGTATTTTCCACGGCCTGCTCTGGCAGTACCAAGCTGAGCGGGGCAAGGGCTTGGGGGACAACATCGATCTTGTTCTGCTCCTGTTCTAGTTGAGATAGCAGGAATCGGACGAGGGGCACCAAGAAGACTTCTAATGGAGTACCCTCTTTAACCAGCCCAAAAGTATCATGAGCGGCGGACAGGTCGATGGCGTGTCGAGCAAGTACCTGATTGCGGAAGGCTGCCCAAAGGAAGTGGTGAATGATGTCATCTACCGAGAAGACGAATTCAGTGTGTGTGTTGGATGAAAATTGCAGCCACGGGAAGAATGTTGGAGCAACTCTGCTTCCATTGCTTCTCGGCCGGTTGGAGTTTCCACTATGTAAATCCACAGCACGCGAGGCCGTGCGGCAAACAGCGGAGGAGACTTGCTCGGGCGGAGAAGAGGCGACTGATTCGAAAACAGCATTCTGCGTTGATGCTGGGAGAGTATCCAGGATCTTGTGTAGGAGCCCCAGTGACAAACTCAACACCCCAAACCTGTTATGAGCGAACAGCAGCCCTGCAAACAGACAAAACGGTGCGACCGCAGGAGAACTCAGCCATGTAGCAAGTTGGTTCGGTGCCGATGGTGGAGACCGGGAGATGAAGGACCTACGGCCTTGGGTTGATGGCCGATGAGGAGATGTGTCGTCTTGCGGCAAGTCTTCAGTATCAGGAGGCAATATAGAGTGCTCCCCGCTGCAGGCGTGCGGCAGGATGTTCGGGCCACCGAGGAAAACTCCATCGAAATGGTAGTGAATGTTGTACGTTGGGGTAGCCATCGTTCCTGTCCGGTCCTGGGGAAAGGCGCGATGTCAGTTGGTAAGTTAGAGGAAGTTGTGCTGCAAACGAGGGGATGCTGTGAGTTGAGTAGGTGGTGGCGTAGGGCAGAGGATGAAGGGAGTAGGCGCAGGGCGGAGTGCGCGCGATGGACATGGCGTTTGACGTACCTGACCCTAGACAGGGCGTTGATGTTGATGATCGCGAGATTTGAGATGGAGGCAAACTTGGCAGCAGGTCAGCACAGTGCCCTCCAGTCGCGTGGTTAGAAAACCGGTGCAGACGGATATGGGAAGTGTAACAATATACCTGCTAGTGTCGAGAGAGGCGGTGGATAGGGTTGCGAGTAGATTCGCAGGTGTGGCGAGGATGATGAAAGCCTCGCAGTTGAAGTTGCTGGTGGTGTCCCAAAATTCCAAGCGAGGTTGTGTGCGGGAACATAAACGTGCTATAGCTCTGTCGGAAGAAGGAGTCAAAAAGACGCCGGGACTGGAGTCACGTGAATATCAGTCACTGCATGATTGGAGAGGCTAGCTTCAAAGCCATTCACGGCTTCCTGGCCAGGTCGTGAAAGTGCTAAGTCATGTCTGAACTTATTTCACCAGCCAACCACATGTCTAATACAAGACATGGTAGCCGATCGTCATAATCCAACACAGTCCCCTTCAATTAATCGACAGACATTCTTCTCCACCATGTCTTTATCTCGACTGAACGAAACGAACACCCCTGTTGGATCCATAACAATCAGAGACATGAAACGATATAGCAGCATGTCCATCCAGCTCTATGAAGTACACGCATTATACCTGTGTTCAGTAGCTACGGGGTATCATCAATAAATACGATCTCAACAATACTCCTTACTAATGTATCTTTTATCGCTTCCAGTCTCGATATCTCATGCTGCATGCGCTTATAACACAGTGGCGTAGATACTTCGGTGAATGAGCTCCTACGGTCTTTCAATTCCCCGATCCATTTCGGAATTCTCACCTTAGCGCGCTCTCGGCTCGGGTCTCGACTCCTTTCTTTCAGCTGCAAACGTCCACCTTCCTACTCACATCAACCACATATGGCCCCATCATTCCAAGCTCACAACAGTGAAGTAACGATCGAAAAACACCGTCCACCATGAGCGACCTCTTGGAAGATCTTCGCGAACTCGGCTTCGTCCCAAATCCGCCAACTCTGAACGGCTTGCCCACAGAGCTAGGTCATCATTTGCGACAATCTTGACAAATCGGCCCTCCAGTCTCTACGCCTCGTCAACAAAAGGCTCAGCAAAGTTGCAGATGAGCATCTCATATCTAAGGTTACCTACTATCTCTAGGAGGAAACCTATAGACAACTAGAGTTGATGCTCGAGCACCCTGTGTTCAAGAACCATGTCACAGGCCTGGATATCGACGCTAGAGGTGTGATGTATGGGATTTCAGATGAGGATCGCCGCCGATACCACGAGATGCTGCCAGCTCGTTTCAACCGTTCGCCACCCCGAGCTGGTAACAACAAGTGAGTGAAGCTAGATTTGACTGGCGTCGAATATATATTCGAGGATGACCCATCGTTCTTTCGAGAGGTTAATCATCCGTCTTTCGACGTTGGTGATCTAGTTGGAAAACTGAGGGCGCACCAACAGAAGATGGAATGGCAGAAACAATTATTCGGCGACAGGATTGGTGGGGCTCCCTCTAGACTCTCCGACCACTTCCGGACGCTGTTGGGATTGATGCCAAAGATGACCGACATCCATATTCGATCAAAATACCCGGGGGGTTCTCTCATTCACGAGTCCATGGATCATCGTACAAGCTTATACGCCGACTTGCATTTGTACCGGCGTGGCATTCCGGCTATGCTATCGTTGTTCTTAGCCTGCGCTGAGAAGGAGAAGAAAATCACCACACTGGCCATCAACAAGGTCGCGGATCTTTTCTTCTTCACTTGCACTGCCGAGCCTAAATGCGTGGAACTCACTAAGAAAATCGATAAGGCAACAGCGGACTTGGACAGCATTAGTCTTGAGATAACAGCCAAGGAGAGGGGGTGGAGTCCCGAGAACGGTTATGGAATTAGAGAGTGCCGCCAACATTTTGCTACTGGCGAATTCTACGACTTCATCCGAAACATGACATAGTTACGCAAAATGCATGTCAGATTCCGCCCAACCTTCTTGATGATACCACACGGAATCCCGACAATATTCCCTGGAGTCTTCAGGAGCATGTTCGGGCGCAACATCTGGCCCAAGCTTGGAGAATTCTCCATCGGCTACCTCGAAGCTGAGGAAGGAACTCTGATCTCCTTCATCTCGGACCATAAAAATACGCTCAAGATACTCAGTCTCGAAACAATCATGCTTTCTGCAGGCTCCTGGGCATCGCTTCTTCCTAGACTGCAGGCCATCATCTCTTCCTCGGATTTCAAGCTAGACACCATCACCGTTCGCGGACATCTACTAGAGCAAATCAACAATCCACGCACTTGCTTTGAAGAGATAATATGCGATAATTCCGAAGATTTCCAACCAATTCGGGTAAAAGCGCAGCAAAATCAGGTCGAAGCATATCTAAAGGACCGCGGATTCTGCCCAATTACTATGAACAATACCCGATGCACGCCTCGTCGCTATCAACCACTATTTCCGGTCATCTTTTGAGGTGGAAGCTAGTGGTTTGGCAACATGGATATCGGGAGATCTGAGAGTGTCGGAGGTGTTGTTCCTAGGGGTGTACATAGGGTTTTGTGGATATGGAGTATAGCATTTTACGAGTCTTGCGTCAACTCGAGGCTGAATTGGAACCCCGGATATTAGTTCTAAAATGCCGATTTTCATAGATATACCTTTACATCCCCACACTCTTTGCAAAACTCTAAGAACAATGTGAAGTTCGGTGTAGTGAGAATCACGCTACCTCTTACCTCATCGGCTTCCTATCAGTTGGGCCACCTCTCACAGTGGTATCAGGCGAGCAGGACCGGAGCCCGAGTAGTGGGATATCGAGATGCCTAAACCAATGACCTAGCAGAAACCCAAGGACCTTATCTAATGATATGACGGATGCTTCAGTGCAGTATTCATCCAGCGGTTAGTACGTCAAGTTTGTCCACTCCATAACAGTGCCCGAGCGGACTCGGCTACTTTCCAGATCTTTCACAAACTTTCCAAATAGAGCTTTCTTACCTCCTAAAGGTACCTCAAACAGTGGCGGATAGGTCCACGAAACATCCTTCCGGTACCTGAGTTTATATTCGACTATCCTACACAAGCCAACTCCCATTTCACCAAATCTTACTGCTTGCCTGTCCAACTCGACTCACAGCCAGGCACTCATGCCATACACCATTCAATCATCCAATTCCCAGTGCCTATAAGTATCTCGCGTGACTGGGCAATCTACCCTGCGCGTTAGGTAATCGCGCAACCTCTTGACCGCCCTCAGCCGACTGGAATTGTATACTCTGAAGCGCGCTGGTGGCGACGATCCCGCCTCGTGCTCGTACAAACCCTGTTGGAACGAAACAGACTTGATAGATCCCTCTGAAACAATCTCGTGCAGTTGCGGTAGTGTAGAAAACCAAGCTCCCGCGGTGAGTTTGATTCGTCGGATTTCTAGAACGTCGAGCGTGCTTGCGTACCTTCCTAAGAACGCGACAAGATCTTCCTCGGTGGTAGTGATGTAGTTGAGCCTCAAGACCTTCAGGCTCCGCAGGTGAAATGGCTCCGAACATTTCTCCCAGCGACATCCAGGTAACGTGCCGTTGAGAGATAGGGCGCACGTGATGGTTTCGGAGAGTGAGGTCTTCCGGTTTCTTCAGGTTTCCCAGGAATGCCGTCAAATGCCCACTCCTCCATGAGTTTGAGCTGGTGACCCAGCCGGCGCCTTGGAAGTCCAGCTGTGGATTTCCGTTCACATTGTGCCATACAGCGGGCGTAAAGTTGATATGCAAGTGGGTGAGATTCGCCGTCGCACGCATGATGTCGTCGGTGCATTCGTCCAGTGTTCCGAAGAAGCGTCGAGAAAGCTGTTCGACATGTAGTTTCTTCAGCTTTGTTCCAGTGTAGAAGCATACCATCAGCAGTAGAAGCAGCTGGTACTCCCCGGTCTCGAATCTCAATGCGCGGAGCCCGTTGGTGTATATCTGGTGTAGGGTTTTGAAGTCGCCGCGCGATAATTCGATGCTCTGGAGCGCTGGAAGGCTCTTGATAACGCGGGAAATCATGCGCCAGGCACCCGATCCATTCCAAAGGTCCTGCTGCCAACGATGAAATTCGCAGTATTGTCCGTACGCACGATAAACGGCCGGAGTAGCTGGAACGATGTCTGAACGGTTGTATCCTACCGATGCCTTCACAACCTTGGAGTACCATGTTGCCCACGTTTCTGCAGGATGTTGGCGAAGATGTACCGCAAGCCCCTCAATAGCGTTCTGATAAAGCTCGCGATTGGTGTCAGCGAGGTAGTCTCAGTGAACTTTTGGGTTCCGCTGCTTGATCTCTTGCTCGGGCTTGGTGCCGTCTATTGTAGGAAAGAGGCCAAGTTCTTGCGCTTTCGTCCACGCTATATGCCATTTGAAGATTACATCGAACGAGGCGCGGTCGGCGAGCTGTGGGATTGTGCAGCTCCCGTCGAGTCTCGGCGTGGTTATGTATGAGGGAACAATGGGATGTTGTAGTATTACGGAGACCCGTTCGAAGCTTTGGGGGTTGAAATCCACTGTGGCTCATGGTATGATGTGGCTTGCTCCAACCTCACTAAGCGCCTTATTGGTGAGGCGGAGGGACTTCACTTCGCAGAGGTCAAGGAAATCGAAGATGATGTGGAGAATCTCCGGGGCTGGGGCGTTTATTCCAGTCTTAGGGCCATCAAGCGCCATTTGGTCCAGCAAGCGCGGTAGAATTTCTTCCATGTTGGGACAAAGTGGATAGGAGGAGGAGGTTGATGAGAGGCTGGCGGGAAAGGTTCGGTGGGGCATCTGTGGGTGGAGAAGTACGAAGCCACGGGAAAACATTTTTACGCTCCGGAGAGATTCATAGCTTGTGACGGGTTGGCGCCGTCTGAGGTGGCCCAGCGAGACTTTGAGCTGTTCAAAGCACTCTTTTCCGTATTTTTCTAACAATGTTGAGGCAGTACTGACAACGACATCTAGGTATTCTCAGATCTACCATATGACGACATTTCAGAAGGCGAAGACGCCAAATCTGATATGAAAACATGATTTAGAGTTCGAAATCTACCTCTCCTTGGAAAGGGGAGAGCACCGTCTGAGGTGGCCAAGCAAGTCCATCGGTTGCTCAAATTAGTCTTGTGTGGATCGGGAGAGTGTGTAAAGCCACTTCAGACAGTGGCAATTAGATGTACACAGATGCAAGATGAGGCCCTTCGCAAAGTATGGATGCTAGACCTAAAATGATTATGAGAATTGTAGCCGAATAATCCACCTTTTGTCGTGCGGAGGGAACATCGTTTGAGGTGGTCAAGCGAGTTCAGATATTGTTCAAACTGATATTGTCGGTATGTCTAATAGTATATCGAGGCATTGCAGACGGCGGCAGATTGACGTAAACGGAACTGGGAAGAGGCGTCTCAGAGAAATAAAGTCTCATTCAGCATAGGCACGTGATTCGGAGCGGAGGTGCTCGTTCGGGAATCGATCGAGAGCATATATTAGCTAAAACATCTAGTATGTGTAACACTTGTTAGCCACTGCGTGGGATGGCTCCGCCTGGCATCACGAATTGAAACAAGACGTAAAGCCCCTGATGGCGTAAATCAGAGCGCAGTTTAAAGCGACTTGTCATGCCGCTAGTTTGGGGGCTTCAAGATAGATTTAGCGATCTGGAGGTGGTAGCAACGCTTCAGAGACCTCCCTGAGCGAGCGAACCGGATTCTTAGTGTGGCTCCGATAAGCTTGTGCACACTCATTTGCCACTATTCGAGGTACTCCCATGGCCTCTCAAACTTATAGGCATGTTGTTCTATTCAAGGAAGTCTCATCTGAGCTACCTCTTGATTAGCGGGCGCTCACACCAGTGGGCTCCTCCTAACACAGGTGTCTGGTTTCCCAAGGCGGCACAACCGATGAAATATTCATCTGCCTGGATCCTGTGATCTAGTAATACGGATAAAAAGAGATGCTTATCCTAATAAATTGTAAACCGGCTCCTCATATGAACTGAAAGGTTATGTTTTTTCTCAGGTGGTATGTTTGGGAAGCAAACTTGGGGAGTGGCAAACAAGTACAGACAGATCAATACCAGGGCGCTTCCAAGGCCGCATTCAGTCATCAGAAGATAGAAAGTGTGTTCTTCGTGCGTGTCGTCTCCCTGGCAGAGATTTTTTATCGGGGCTCCTGTAGCGTCAGCTGAAGTAGCTGAATGAGCTTCTAGTACAAGGTCATAAGTTTGGGCATACGGACATCTCACTACTCGGGCGCAGCTCTTGCTCGCTCGGAACCACTGTAAGGGGTACCATAGCTGGCACGTGTTGGCAGCTGGCGTAGGAAGGGCAAAGGATCAGTGAGGAAAGCATGAGTTGTATTGAGGTGCTAACGAGTGGCTATATAGTGAAGAGAGACCAGGGGTTGCAGGCAGCAACGGTGACAAAACAACAGGTGAACCTTGTCCAGCTGAGAAGTGAACCCTGTACAGCTGAGACGCGTAGGCAGACGTGCGTAGGAGCATTCTAATTGGCTGCCACGTCTTCAACCAGTCAAACGGTAGTCCGATTCCCACTGCGTTGAGTCTTCATTATATCTAGAGTTCCAGAAGCCTATTAGGATACCCTTAGCAGACCGAAGGAGTGCCTAAACCATTGTTATAGTGCTGTACAGAATCCTCAGGACGATAAGTTTTCATTGGTGCAGATCTGTAGAAACTACTGAGGTACTCCAAGCAGCGGCAAAACATTGTACAAAGATGCGTGACGCGACATTATATATGCACTTGTACTCGGCACACAATGAATAGGACATACATCATACCTAAATCTCACGTGAACAGATCGACGTGTCATGGATGTGGTAATCTTCTTAAGCCCACGGTGTATGCCTGTTACTGCAGGAACATTCTAGGTCACTAGTATAAATGACCCTCGTCTATTTCCATTCTTTCTCGTACACACCCACCTTCATCTCCACAACCCCACCTCACCACAGCTTCAAAACTCCGCAAGCCCTCGAACATCAACACCAAAACTATCATTTGTCAAAGATTTCGCCAGAAGTCGAGCATGTCTGGTTTCACCCCAAAGCCCCGCTTCGCCCCCGAAACTCCTCCCAGCGAGCCTAACGAGACGATGGACCTTAACGACGTCAAGGTCACCGGCACTCCTCACGCTGGCCAAATTGGCGACTCTCCTCTTAGTGTGGCGCTCACTGCATCCGAAAAGCAAATGCTAGACAACACAAAGGTCAAAACAGCTATAGTCGACGTGGATTCGGAGGCGTGGAAAGAGAAGATGGATCTCGAGACGAAGGCCACCATGCTGGAACAAGAGAAACGGGCCCACTCGAACAAGATGAAGCTCGAAGCCCAAGCCAAGAAAAAGATTGCTTCGGACAAGAAGGCTATGGAAAAGCTTCTTAGAGACAAGCAGGTCGTGGAGGTCAGACCGCACCCCGCCCCAACCGGCTCGATGGAAGTGGACGCGACGAGCGAAACACCTTCGGAATCTCACGTCCTTCCCGAGACGCTGCTTGCGCTGTTCGTCCCCAAAGAACTCGATGAGCTAGAGCTACGCCCCGATGAGCTCCAAGAGACCTGGCCTGAGCTCGCAGACGACATGTACGCCTTCCGCCTGGACGGCGTCCGCAAGCTCGCTACAACCTACGACAAGTACAACAAGCGCTACCTCCGGAACAAGGAACCGATAATTTCCGAGGATGAGCTGGTTGCCTTCAGCCGGGCCCGCGAAGCCGAGTTCTTCAAGTTCTTCTTGCGCCAGGGCATGCAGTTCAAGCCCGTATCGTTGGACTGGTACACAAAGCAAATCGCGAAGGAAGACTCGGCAGACAAGAACGAAAGCTCCAAGTGGACAAAACGGGTGGAGACATTCAAGGAATACTGGCAGTCCGTCAAGCTGCTAGAGACGCGCCTTCAGCCGCGAGTCTTCGTCGATGCCGCGACGCGTGCCGCGCTGCAACAGCAGCCGATTGTCCGCCAACAGTTCAAATTAGAGAAGGATTTCAAGCCGCTCCGCCAGAAGTCGCTGGTCAAGATGTATGAGCAGCATGGCCCGAGCCATTTGTGGATCTTCTACGACTTGCCGTACACGTCTCAGTCCGAGCAGGCCGCTATAGCTGACAACTGCGTCGAGATGGAGGCGGAGGTCTTTTGGCGCCTTTTGCAACAGCAGAAGCAGTCCCAAACCGAGAAGGCATACCTCGAGGGCGTCAGTGGTCAGATTGCGAAGATCCGAGCGATGCGCAAGGAGGCTGAGGCGAGACCCAAAAAGATCAACGGCGCTGCAGAGGTTCTTGGCAAGGCAGTTGAGGGCTCGAAGATGGAAGTCGATACCCGTGCACCCGCCGTGGTGATGGAAGCACAGGCACCCGGTTTGAAGAACACGCCTACAGAGCACTAGATATTGTTGGCGTATCTCAACTTAGCTCACTCCATTCCCTAGGTTTCGAATGAAGAGTGTTTGACGAGGAAGATAGGGACCTTTGGGGTCTGGGGCTATTGACTTAGTTTACTATCAATACTAGTCAATTGAATGAACTTGATCTAATTTAAACAAGATATTCTCGTGATGACTGACGATAAGAATTGTGCGTGAGACGACTCGCAAATCGAGCGTAGGCAGGGGCATATTTGCGAGTGAAAATATAATTGGGAGACACCCCCGGGTCTACGAGGGAGTAGCATCTAACGTCGTGGTAGACAAGAGATTCCATATTGGAAGGCAAGGGGAAAGGACCCAGAAACTTTGAGAAGGATTGATAACACCGTGAGCTAAGTGTACATCTCATGAAAACTGGGGCTTGGAGGTATGGTTTCAATATGACCCTAGGTTCACAAGAAACTTACACTCTACATAATAAAAGCACTCTAATACATGAACACGCGGAGTGTCTCCTACTGGTCAGGAATACTGAGGTAATCAAGGACGGGTAAACAGACATATGTGTGAGCAGTCGTTCTCAATAGTTTACGTCAGTAATCTCTAGCACACGAACATAGCATCACCCTTGCAGATAGTGGGATGTATGAGACTCTTGGATTGTTGTATTGCATAGCTTCATGTAGACTCTGTATCGTCGTAAAAGTCAACGTCGTCTATCTTCCGCCGATTCTAGATGGACGCCACCCAGTGGCATCAACTCCGTCGCCATCGTCAGGGCTTGAAACCATCACCGAATCTGCGCAGCGTTACTGTCAGCCGCGTGCATCATTTTTCTTTTCGGGCCCATAACTTACCGAGTAACTGTCAGATCCTGCGCACTCAGTTCCTGGGCTCTCCGCCGCTGCTGGCTTCCTCGGCCTCGTGCTCCGCCTGAGCTTCACCGGCCTCCTGTTCCGCCTGAGCTTCCGCCTCATCATTCCGAGCTTCCTCGGCAGCTCTATCTTCTTCTTCCTGCATCTCCTCCTCCATCCACTCGATATAGCTGTCCTCCGTGTGTTGATCTGCCAACTCGCCCATGGTTTCGGTTGGTTGTTGGAAGTTGGTAGTCTGTAGGAGTTTAGAGGATGTGGAGGCCATGTTTGTGGCTGTGTCACCTTTGATATGCGGAACTTTGACTGCGAGCGGGGGAAGAGCAGCTTTTTGAGTACGGTGGGACTGAGCTGATGGTGGATGGAGTTCAAGGGTCGCTCGGTGGGATAATAGATCGATCGGGCGCGCACGTTCACGCCCCACTCGCCCTTTCCCGAGCTCGCTCCACCTAAGATATCGGGCCAGCTTGGCGATCGAATTGGGGTGACATCAGCGTTTCGTAGCGTCAAGCCTATGCTCCATGATAGGAAGCCAGCAAGGTGGGGTATATTCACCATCCTTGCCAGGTTTCGCATGCATATCATAGTATTTTCAAGCACCACGTTGGACGGAGGATCGTATTCATGAGCCGGATGTGAGAAAGATGCGCTATGCCTGGCATGGATTTGGAAAGCTCTGATCTAGATAGATGTAACCCAAACATCCTAGGGAGCTCTACACAGCAGATGCGTTAGATTCTAGTCGTCAAAAATCAATTTGTTGACCTAGAACTAATTTATTCCGAGTAGAATGCGATCTCCATTTTGAGCACATCTAGAGTGACGTTATGCACGGAATTAACAGGAGATGTTGTAGTTGTATCATCATGCGAAATGACTTCTCAAATAGATGGGACGAAAAGGAGGTCGGAGAAGCGGGCGAACGATGTTCCACGGAAGTTCCCGGATGGGACCGGCGCGGCGTTTAATTTAGCCGAAGCTTAACGCGACCGCAGCCTCGTTCCGTCCCAAACCACCACCACCACACATCGCCATCATGGCGCCGCACAGTCGAGGCAATGCTGTCCCTGCGGGCTTCCAATCCAAGTCCACCCCCAACCTCCCAACCCTCCACTCCCTCGAGATGACGCCCGCCTCCAGATCCGCCCTTGCGTCGCCCGAAAACCAAGCACCCCCGGGCGGTCCCCTCGTTTCTCCTACCATAACCACCTCCCCGTCTGAACCGCTATCCGAACCTCCATCCGTGCCCGCCTCCGTGGAAGACAATGATGAGGAAGAAGAGGACGATAATCTCTTCGGGATGAACCCTTCAGACTCTGACAGCGACAGCGACACCAACCCCGCGCCGGCGTCGCGACCCCTCTATACCTCTCGCTCTCATACCCATCTCCCACCACACACAGTCAGCAGCCTCTTCCCACCCTTTTACAATCGCCCGCCGACGCCGCTGCCGCCCTCGCCCAGCCTCACCTCCCTCCTCCGCCCCTCCTTCAGCACCCAGACTTCGCGCCCCACCACCCCCGATAGCTCCGACGTCGACATAACCACAACTCCCAACTCTTCCGCGACGCTCGCCCGCCTCACCACCTCCGCGCGCGCCGCGCCGACCGTCCCTCGCGCAAGCCCCAAAGTGCCAACATATGAATACTACGGTTTCGCGCTCTACCTCGCCAGCAGCGCCGCCTTCTGCATGTACATACTCTGGGCCTATCTCCCGTCGCCGTTCCTGCATCAGCTAGGGATCCACTACTACCCGAACCGGTGGTGGGCGCTGGCCGTGCCGGCGTGGCTGGTCGTCGGGGTGGGCTGGATATACGTGGCGCTGGCGAGCTATAATACTGGATACCTGACTCTGCCGCTGAAGAGTTGCGAGAACTTGGTAGATGCGTGCGCAGCGGTTGCGGTTGTGGATCGGCGGAATGGGAAGATTGTGAGGGGACGCGCGAGGCGAGTGGAGGAGCGCGAGGGCGGGAAGGGCGGGACGAGGAGTAATTCGCTGAGTTTGTATCAGTATGGTGCTGAGGAGGAGGTTGATTGGAGGAGGCTGTGGTCGATGGGGACGGATGCGGTCATGGATGTGCCGATTGGAGGCGTTTGTGAGATTTTGTACGGGGATGGGCGTGATAGAGAGCCCTGGGAAATGGAGAGCAATCCTGGGGATACTAGTGGAGTGCAAAAGGGTAGGATGACGCATCAAAGGGAATCAGCGGAGTTCTGATCGTTCTCGTTTTAATCAAATCATTTGTCATTGTTTTCATTTCATCGCTGGGCTACCCTAAACATCGGTGTCCAGGACTCAAAAACAAGGACGAGACTACTCATAACCCCCCTTTTTGCTGCATATAACCCCCCCTAGATTTAGCCTAGCTCCGTCCCGTATTAATATTGTTCCACCAATTATATTCACTCGCTTGTTAGATGCGTAAAACAGCAAGGCTATACAAAACGGCAAGGCTATACAAATCGGAAAGGATGTATACACGAATCGCATAGGATATATATATATACAATAACAACAGTCTATTCACTCCATCTACTCTAGCTAGCCTAGAAGCGGAAAGCGTCTAGATGGCCGCCTCTCAATTGCTAATTGAAAGAAACGCCGTATACACCATTGTACCAAGGTCTTACACCCGAATATCCTCCTGCTGCATCGGCTCCTTCACTATAAACAGCTTCCTCCTTGGGAGGAGACAGAGGGGCGTCCTCTAGGGCTGGTTAACTGTTAGCGACTAAGGAAATAGAGCCCTAGGTTACTGTTAGGGTGCCGGCTTGTCTAGCGGAGAGATCTGGTGGAGAGATCCGGTGCTGTATTGGTGAATTAAAACCCGTTATTGAACATCATTATCGCCTAAGCGACAGCCTAATTGGTGGAATAAAGTTGTTACTAGCCGGAGCTAGGCTAAATCTAGGGGGGGTTATATGCAACAAAAAGGGGGGTTATAAGTAGTCTCGTCCAAAAACAATGCATGCGCAGCGCGATATCTATATAGTCAAAAATCCGGCCTTAGAAGCTAATGTAAAAGTTAACATGTCATAGATTAGACCGCCTTCTATTAAGCTAGCTTCCTAATACATAAGCCACCCCTACCATTAGCATTAATTATACAAGACAGTTCCTATATAGCGTAATATCTGTTAAGTCAAGATTCTAGCATTAGAATCTAATATAAAAGCCAACGCACAGTAAATTAGGCTATCTTTTAGCAACTACATAAGCTACCCCTAACATCGGCGTCAACTATGCAAAAGCAGAGCCCGTATAACATAATATATGCTTAATCAAAATTCTGGCGTCGAAAGCGGACTCAAGCGTCAACGTCGCGCAAAGCAAGCCACTTTTTGAGAAGCCAGCGACCTGCTAGGTGGGTTACCCCTAACATCAGCATCGAACATGCAAAACCCTAGTTTACGTAGAGTAATATCTGATTACTAAATCACATCATCACACAGCACTCCTTTGACATAATACTCATTCTCATTCATCTATCAAATGCTCTCAGCTCAGTCTAGCCCAGCCCCACCTCCCAGTACGGAACACACGACTCGCAGTACTCGCATAGCGAACGCAAAATGCAAAATGCAAAATGCAAAATCCAAACGCTAAATCCAGAACAAGTCAAAAAAAAGTCAGAACGCCCAAAACCGCACCAGCAGGTCCAGCATCCACAAAGTCACCTCTTCCATCCGGGGAGCGATACCAGCAAAGGCCTCAAACCCCCCTTCAAAAGAGAACTTTAAGTAGTATGCCAGACCTCGCTGTGCGGCACTATCTAATGTTCCTTTTTTGTGCCCAGCAATCGCCCATTTCTGTTGCCGTCATCCACGCACTGCCGGAACTCGGCCCAGGGCCCGCGCGTTAGGATGTAGAAGGGGCGTGCTGGGGGTTTTTTTTTTTTTTTTTTTTTTGAGGGGGTTTGTTGTGTTTGGGGGATTGGGGGATATTTGGGGGTGGTGGGGGCAAGCTCAAGATGAATCTTCAACTCTCTCATGCTGTTCCGTCGCACATGCCTTAAATCTCATCATCAGACCCGTGGTCCACCTTATCCTCCACGTACTCGGCCTTCTTAACTGGAGCAGCAGCCGCCGGCGTGGACGGACTCGCTACAGAACCCCGCGGGGTCGCGGTGGGCTGGGTAGCGACGGAGTTGGATCCAAGGGCGGCAGAGGCGCTCGAGCCTGCAGGTTTAGAGGGTAAAAAGGAGAAAAGGTTGGCCGTCTTCGGGCCTGTTAGTGTTGCAGGAAGCTGTGGGCCCGTGGAGGTCGAAGTAGGTCCAAACTTGAAACCGCCGGCGGGGCTTGACGTGCTGAAGCTAACAGAAGCGCCGGAGGCTGCGATGGATGGGAAGGCCGAGAAGGATTGCGCCGGTTGTTGGGTAGTTGAAGCCGAGCTTGAAGCGCCGAAGATAGGTGGAGTAGGTGTCATATCATTCTTTGTCTGCGGTGTACCTAGGCCAGAGCTCGAAGCGCCGAAGGTCGGAGTAGCCGTGCCGAAGTTGGTATCAACCTGCGGCTTCCACGAAGGCTGCGACAATACTTTATCCATTATAGCCGATGGGATGATGTCGAGGGGCGCATGGTAGTGCGTCGAATTTGATGGGCATTTAAATTCAGACTTCCTTGAGCGCGGCTTGGGAGTAAGGATTGTCCGGTCGCCGGGGGCGAGCTCGCTATCATCAGACTCGTAATTGACGCCTGTATCTGATTGAGTGATTGATGAAACAGATGTAGATGCTGATGCGCTCGGGGTCGAGGTGGTATTCAAGTTGATGGGAGGGGGAGCGCTCGAGGTAGTGCGAGCGGATCTGTCGGCTGGTCCACGGGCCTTCTTGCGCGAGCCGGTTCCTTCAGTGCTACGGTCTGCATTAGGGCTTTCCTTATCGGCTGCTGAAACACCGGCAACGGCGGTAGTTTTGCGGCGTGCGGTTGCCTTTGCTACAGCCTCGCTAGTGCCTGTGATGGACTGAAACTTCTCTTTCTCCGCCGAGAAGAAGCTTCCCGCAGCAAACTGTGTTGCATCGAATTTGATAGGCGATGGCGATGGGGCGGTCTTGGTCTTATTGATGGGAGTAAAAGAGAACGGCGTCGCCACTACTGTTTCCGGGCCCTTTGCCGTCGTTGTTGGAGTGGCTGGTGTGATGGACGATGGTAAAGAAGATATCTTCGTAGGTGTCTGTTCCTTAGGCTTAATGAAAGGAGTATTCTTCGCCGATGGAGGCTCAGACTTGTTGAACGTGAAGTTGGCAACCGGTACAGTACCCTGTCCAAGGGTGGACTTTGCGAACGCTGTAGTGAAACTGACATTTTTCTCCACGTCGCTTGAAGCAGCGTTCTGGTGCGCGACTCCGAGATTAAAAAGCCCTGATGCTTGACCTCGGACTTTCGTCGGCTTGCTAGGTTCGAAACCAAGAAGGTTGAATCCGTAGTTGACTGAAGCCACCTTTCCTTCTACAACCTTCTCCTGCTTGTTCGTGAAGCTGAAGTCCGACTGATTCAATGAGGAGAACGCCGCAGGTTGCTTTGGCTGCGTATCAAGCTTCGCAAGGGATCCTGAAACGTCGCCCTTGGTGTCAACTCCATTCGTGATAGTCTTTGGAGGTCCTGCTGCTGGCTTGATCCGAGAAGCTGGAGTGGGAGTAGCAAAAGGCGTTTGGGTGGAACTGCCTTCGACTTTCATCACCCCGTTCGTCTGAGGAGTGGCTTCAGTAGTGGGAACCTCGGGTGTTTCAGCTTCTATCTTGAATGCGGCGAAAGGGTTCTCCTTCACGGTAGTCGTGGTCCCGGTGTTGGCAAACTCCACCTTAGGCCCGGAAAACGATCGAAAAGATTGCTTTGCTTGAGGAGGTTGAGTTAGCCCTAGCTTTGCAGCGATTTCAGGAGCCGCAGTGGAAATAATGCTACTAATATTTGTAGGCTTCTTCTCCGCCTGCTGTTGCTGGGCGCTCCGAGCGGCATTTTGCGACATCTCCTCGTCCTTCGAAGGCGCTCCGACGGTCGCATCCTTGCGCAAGGTTTTCGTAGATGCTTTAGTCTTCCGGAAGCTGTCGGGCTTGGAGACTGTCGGAAGCTTCAAATCGGACCCAGAGGCAGTCTTGGGACCACCCAGATTAGCATTCTGGCCAGACTGCACAACCTCCTGCTTGTCCTCAGTGCGAGGGGAAGCAACTCCGGACCCAGTAGTCTTTGGCTTAGGAGGGGAAGACAGATCCAGATTTCTAGAGGCCTGCGAAACGGTGGGCTTCTTAGAGAGAGAAACTGTTGTCTGACTCAGCAACGATGCATTTCCAGGCACAGCGGCAGTCGTCTTGTCTTCAGTGACGGCGATGGGAGCCGCCCCTGGTTTTGGGATAGGAGTATGGATGCGATCGATAGCAGAGCCAATTCCAATGGTCGTAGCCGATTCCGAGTTCTTGGGCTTCTGAAGCTCGGCGGGCTTGGGGACGGCCGTAGCCTTCGAATCAACAGGTGATGCAGTCTTGACATTACTCACATCGAACTTCTGGCTAGGCTGGATAGTCTTCTGCTTACCCTCCACAAGCGGAGAGACAATTCCAGGTCCGGTAGTCTTCGCCTTGACAGGAGACGACAGGTCTCGATCTCCAGAGGCCAGCGGAAGAGCTGTCTTCTTGGAGGCAGAAGCTGACGGTGGAGTCGGCGACGACACGTTCGTAGTTGGAGCAGCGGTCTTCTTGTCGGCGACGATAGCGATGGGAGCCGCTCCTGGCTGTAAGATGGGAATAGGGTTCGCATCGGCAGCGGAGGTGATTTCAGTGGTTTTCGCCTCATCCTTCTTTTCGGCAATCGATTTGGGGGTCCTAGAAAAAATAGCTGGAGTAGCTTCAGACTTCTTCACGGGCTCCTCCCGAGGCGTGGTACGTTTAACAGTTTGAACCTTCGAAGCGTCATGTTTGAGTTTAGCTTCCCTGTCAATGTTGTCATCCTTTTTGATAGTAGTCCCCTCAGCCTTCGTAATCTTAGTCTTTTCGGCAGGTTGCTTGAGCAAGACATCCCGATCAGGGGCTGTGGAATGAGATGTTGACGAGGTCTTCAAATCTAGAGCGGCTGGTGTGCGGGCTGCAGGTGACGTGATTTTCTGACCTTCTGGAGCTGCATCGCGCTTGACCTCTGATTCTAGGTTCTTTGCCGTAGGATTTATCATTGACTTCTTGATCGCCTCCAGCTTCTCCTCAAGCGCACCGTCAAGCATTGCTTGCAACTCAGCTTTCTGGATCTCCTTGTGTTGATTAAGCTGCAGACGGAGCTTTTCCTTTTCCGTCCGCTCCTTGGCTGCGAGCTTTGTTTGCTCCTCGGAGTGCGCCCGCTCCTTGGCTACCAGCTTTGCCTGTTCCTCAAGCTTCGCTTCGAGTTCACTGACCTTGCCAGACTGTGACTTGAGGGAGGTAATCTCGGTCTCTTGGCTGTTGATTCGCTTTTCAAGGCGCTCGATCGTCACTTGGCTGACTTGAGATGTCTTGATACTGTTGACCTCCCCTTGTAGCTTGGAGAGCTCTGAGTTGTCGGCTTTGTTGGATAAACAGGCTTCTACGATACTCTGCTTGGTATCAATGGCGGAAAA